GTCACTTAATGCAAACAAGTGTACAATTTTATCAGTAAGTCGAAAAAAAACTAGGTCAAATTTTCTTTACACTATCAATGACATTCCCATAACTAGAGTAAATCAGCATAAATATCTTGGAATTATTATAACTGAAGATCTAAGATGGGACGCACACATAAGTTACGTTACTTCAGCTGCACTACGCCGCTTGTTTGCACTCAGATACCGGCTTCGTCAGGCCCCGCCTTCTCTAAAACTGCTTGCATACACTTCCCTTGTGCGATCATTACTTGAATACGGTAATATTATTTGGTCACCATTCACAAAACAGCAAATCACGAAACTGGAAGGAATACAAAGGAAAGCTATGAGGTTCATTTACAACAAGTACAGACATACAGATTCTCCGACTAAACTAATTAAAAAAGCTGGATTACTTACTCTAATGAATAGAACAAGGTTAGCACGTGCAAAATTCATACATGAATTAATCCATGGTCATTTAAACATTGATGTATCCGCCTATCTTACGTTTGATCAAACTAGAACAACACGCCAAAAACACCCAATGAGACTTAACGAATACTCCTTCAACACAAACTGCTTTAAGTACTCATTCTTTCCGATAGCCACTAATGAATGGAATAAACTGGATCCGAGTATCTCCAGCACTACCGAATTAGCAAAATTTCTAACCCTTGTCGAAAATGAACTTTGTATTATGCAAACGGAATCACCTGGCTGATTTTAATATGAGTGTTCGTGTGAACATTGTACGAGCGAAGTATCATGTCATCATATTTTTTCTTTAAGCAATTTTTAATACTGAATCCAGGTGAAGAGAAATCGCTCTGTTGATTCTTGAACATATTTCTGTATTTCAGTGTGTATAAATTTGCCCTTCCTTGAAATACTTCGCCATATTGTAGGGTAGTTTCTTATTGCTGTAATTTCTTGTTGTGTTTCTTGATGCATATGCCAATATGTCAACCAATGTGTCAACCAAGTCGCTGCATTTATTTTCTCCTGACAACATTTCTTTACACTAATGTTTTATGCCTTCTTTGAGCTGAAATTGTTAAATGATCCGATTGTGTTAGTTTCATTCTGTACTTTATCGCGATGTATGTCTTTATTGTGTACTTATTCGAATTTTTATGTTCACGCCCTTCCTGCTAAAATCCCTGATGGGATTGGCAGTATGTCGAAATAAATAAATAAATAAATAAACAATCGATAATATCAGACCCATCTCTCTAACATCTAACATAGTCAAACTAGTAGAGAGAATCCTACATAGCCGAGTAAGTATCTGGATGGCAGACAATTTAGTAATAAAACCGAACCAAATCAGCTTTTGTATTCATTTTTCTATTTGGTGTGCCCATGCTTATTTAGAGAGCCGAATGCAGCACGCTCAAAAAAGAACGCAATACGCTGCTTTAGTAACGCTTGACATAGCCAAGTCGTATGACGTTGTGGAGCACTTCATTCTTTAAAATACGCTAAAAAGATTGAATTTTCCAGATTATTTTATTGACTGGGTGGCCCAATTTTAAAGTCAGCAGAATTACACTGCGTCAATGATAGATGTTCCTCATCTAGATTTAAACAAACGCATGAAGTTTCCCAAGGAGCAGTCTTTTTTCTAGTGTTAATTAATGCTTTATTGAGCACAATTCCAACAGAACAAAACGTTACTGTCTGCATTTATGCTGATGAAACCGCATTCTTTGCTGCTGACTGTGATATTTACTCACTACAACCTAAAATACAAAGATATAATATCCTAGAAATTTGGTTGCAGTCGATTCCATTTTCGTTAAATGTCAACAAAAGAGCGCTCTTCGTGTTTCCGTTTGCAGACTCAATTTCAATTCTATATAAACAGGAACCCATCAAGCAAGTAGACTCTATAAAATATCTGGGAATCATTTGTAATGAAAAACCTAACTGGAGTTCACGCATAGAGTATATAACTACCAAGGCACAACGGGCCTCAGGCTTACTGCATGAGCTTTGTATTCGTAAATATGAGTTACGGAGGCACACCTTGGTAGTGTTGTACAAGATGTACAAGCGCCCCATTATAGAATTCAGATGCATACTATTCTCGGATGGCCCTGCTTATAAAACAAAATCTCTAGATGTCTTGAAGCGAGAAGCAATGCGAATATGTCTGGGACTCCCTAGGTATGTGGCTATCAATTTACTGTACCAAAAAGTGCACCTGCCTACACTACTTTGTCGATTTCTCCTTTGACAGTACAAGCATTTTTTTTAAATTTCATAGCTTACCGGCAGAAGATATCAATGTGCTTATATCGCAAACCCAGACGCCTTCTTTCTTGATCATTGGCCAAGGTTTCACTCACCCCAGATAATGTTTGTATAAAAGAATCTACAAAGTATGATTGTGAACAATAGAAGTGTAATTGATACTAATGACTCGAACTGTAATGTTATAATTGAATATGATGATATTTTCCACCAAAACGCCAAGTTGCATTCTCTCAATTTTTTAAATAACATGTTATTTGATTACTTTGATCATGCAGAAACTGAAAATATAATCGCCACAGATGCTTCAGTAAATAATCAAAAGGCAGGTGTAGGCACTGCCTCTGATTCGCTTGACTGGTCTTTCTCAGTGAGACTGCCATATTTTACTCCAGTTTTTGAAGCTGAGCTAGTGGCAATTATTTTAGCTCTTCGAAAACTTCTGTCAAATCAAAGCAACGAAGTCATAATGACGGAATCTCAGTTTGTACTGCTCTTACAGCTTCTGAGAACTCTCGAATTATAAGGACATTCAGAGGATTAGTACCACCGCAGTTAAGACTCCGGAGGTTACTGTAGGTTCCGGGACACTGTGGATTAAGATTTAATGAAGTGGCCGATTCCTAAGCACGAGTCGCACTTTATGGCCCAATTTGATCCGTACTGCCAGATGTTGAATGTATTACAATAAGATATGGAAAATCAACAATCTGCACTGATATGATAGAAAAAGTAACTACATGGACAGAATATAACCACCTCAAGTTTCCATGGCGACCCCACTGGAGTCAGTCCGAAATTCCCGAAGTTTTAATTACAAAATTTCTATGTCATGTCTCCCCCCCCTCTAAGCCTGTACCTACACCAAGCTGGTACGACGATATCACCCCTCTGCGCATTCTGCGGACAAATGGAATCAATTGAACATTAATTTTTATATTATCGCCGATACGCTATACTTAGAAAAAGACTTCCAATTATTCCATTTCTGAAAATAGGTGTTACATTGACGCCAGAAACTGCACTAAGCTTTGGTGCCTCAGTTTTGGAACATTGCCACAGGGATGCTTTCAATGCCGTTAGCGATTATATTCAGGCATCCAAACGTATTCTATTGTAATCTTCAATCAAATAATTATTTAGTGTCCAAAAAATTCTAAATGGTGAGGTGAAGTAAACGCAGCTTAGTGGTAATTACAACACCTGAAATCTCAAAATTTCTCAAATTGACTTTCCATTTTTTTTCGTTTGCTCTTTTTTTATGTGGTTTTCCTTACAATAGTCATAACACAAATTCATTACACATAGTTATAATGCTCATAGAAAAAAATTCACCACGCTTCCTTGGGCAATCCCCCTGAGTGGGTGTGAGCCATGAGTTCAGGAAAATAAACAAACAAACAAGTACTGATGATAGCAATTATATTACATTAAAACATCCATCGCCAAGAAAATTGATATGTATGACTAAGAAGGATGATAGACCTACTGTCACTATTGTTCCCAGCGACAAGATACGTAAGCACCTTTCAGCTTTTTGGTTTGTTTCCACTTTTGTATGCATACTAATTGCATGATGAAAACATTTTTGCTCAACTGAATTAGCCGGGGCACACAAACCGTCAACGTATTCTTGGCACGGACTCTTAGCAACGCTTCTTTGCACGCACAAGACGGAAACAAAGAAAGCCGAAGCGGTGTAACTAGAAGGCGCGAACAGTGAGCCGGTGCGTGCAGCCCAGGAGCTGTATCATTTATTCGAGAGAGCCATGAAAGAAGTATGTGAGCTGTTCACAACATATGCGTGACAACACTGTGGCGTTGTGCTGTTCAGTTCACTTTCGTTTTCAGTTTTAGTTGCGAAGTGGTGCCTCGTACGGCAGCGCTGTATTGTGACATGCACCACTAGGATGCATATGAGGCGTATTGGTACATAGTTGTAAATAAAGTAGTTGGTGACGACCAGTTCTTTGAGGCGGACGTTTCTTTCTCTGACCGCTCCGCACCTAAGTCTTGAGTGGCTGAAACCGGCCACCTGGGTCTGCTAAGGCGCTTCGTTCTTTTTCTTCGGCGGCGTTGCGGCCAGTTCAACCCCAACACAAAGACTTTTTTTGACAGGAACTTGCTGAACACAGTAGCTGCCTAAAATTCTCATTCCATGCCTAATTTTACTCTCAATTTTCTCTTAAGACTTATTCTATTACAACACCACAAGGTGCACTTTTTCATAAGTGAATTCAGTCTCACTCGCTCTGGCTGTTTTGAAAGCGTGACTGAAACGAAAGAATCAAAGAAGCATATTTTCGCGGCAGAGGTTGTCACTTATCGTAGTGTCACTAAAGGTCGCATATACTTACTGCCCGATTCCTGGTTAATACCAGGTAGTGGATCAGTGGCACAGTAGAAGGATTTCGTCATTATTTTTGCGTGTCTCGTGCTTTGAAAAGTGTGGCATAGGTGTAGCAGGCTGCGGTGCTGTGACATTCTTTCCTACGATGCAGTCCCAGCCTCGGAACTTGACTAAAGAAGGCCAAAAACCAACAACCACTGCTACGAAGGTACCATCGCGGAGTAAAGCTCCTGTTTGTAGTACACTGGAATCACACGCTGACGGTCCGAGCACCAGCGCCACCGCTGGCATCCCCAACAACAGCAAAGGCCCCGAGAACATGACCAACAAGAGGGACACTGCTCCTGGCAATGGCCGATCAGGAAGTGACTCGAGCGGGTCGCATATCCCTGACGACACAGTCACAGAGCTTCACGAGGTGTTCGCGCTGTTTGACAAAGATAGCAGTGGCACGATCAGCACCAGAGATCTATTCACCCTGATGAGCGCTCTTGGCCAGAACACGACGGAGGTCGAGCTCAAGGACATGATTGCCGACGTAGAGACCGATGGCCATGGCACCATTGACTTTCCCGAGTTTCTCGCCATGATGACCAAGAAGACGCGGCCTGCCGACACCGAAGAAGAAATCCGCGAGGCCTTCAAGGTGAGCACGAGTGCCCTTCAATTTCACGCATTTTGTCGGTTGTGAATCATTATGTCTTCTCGTATAGCGGTTAGATTGGTGACAGACGTAGACGTGCGCACGTGGGAGCCCCCCACTTCCACCCCTCATGACACAAAAATAGGGGACGCTATGTCAGCATCATACAATGACTAAATAGGGATGAGTGCGCTGTGAGCAATATTTGTTGCCCCCCCCCCCCTAAAAGAAAACCCTGCTCATGCTTATGGTGACACAGATCTTCCTGAACGTTGCACTATATTACACTTCTCATTGTAGTGTTACGCTTATCAGCAAGAGGCGTACTTCAGTCTCAGCAATGTTGGGGAGCTTCTATTCATGTAGGAGGCATGCTCTCATTTTAATCAAGGCAACCTCAAGCCAGCATCATCAAATTCTAGAAGCCTGTGCACTTAGAATATTGTACAAGCAAAGAACTCCAGGTGGCTGAAATTTCCAAAGCCCTCCACTACAGCGTTCATTATAAATATATCGTGGTTTTAGGACGGAAAACCCCAGTAATAATCATCAAGTTGCCTCTTATTATTAAAGTAACTCCCCTCGAGCTTTGTTGCACTGAACAAGCTCCTATGGTGGTGACGTGATCTATAATAAGCACGAAGGCAAACAAGAGATCTGGTAAGAATCCCGGCGACTATATATATATATCCAGGTTGTGGTTTTTCCCCGTACACAATGTTTACACATTCTTTCTTCTTTAAATGTGCCCTGTTGAGCCCCGCCTAGCGTCCGAAATTTATTGCATAGAAATGGCAACGTAGAACAGGATTTCTCATTGAGACTTGCCTATAACAGACTCAACTATTTGCGACATCATAAAGGAAGTTGCTCTGAAAATTTCAAGCTCAATGGTTGTGTTACCCGCAACGCCGACGCCAGTGTAGCTTTCTCCGACTGGTCAGCCCTCTGCGGCCTCCTGGCACCGTGCAGCTCTCGCCATATAGAGCCCCGTCCTCGGACGTCTTCTACTGGCTCTGAACATTCCTATCTTTGTCTTTTTATGTCGCTTGACTGTCCTCGTTATCTATATATCTCCACTATTGTTTTATCTCTCTTTCACTCCTCCCTTACAAGGCACTGCGCCGTGTCGCCCAAGAGGCAGACAGAAATTAGGTGCCTTTTTCCTCTTTTCAAGAACCACTCACTCACATTATAAAATGATGTATTTTCACACCTACTATCTATATGTTATTTTGCCGCAGTTTCGCATTACTGGAAATTGGCAATAACGAAAAAAAATATTTTAAACTGCGTCACCCACTGTGAGCACCGAAGAACACCGAAAAGCCTCAAAAGCTTGTCTAATGCCCACGTGTGAGTTGTCTGAGGAAACCACGTGTGGAACAGTTTCATGATAAGGATTGATTCGTTGGACCTAGTGTAGTGAACGTCTTTCAGTGACTCAAAACGTACAAAATATGTTGTGTCAAAGTCACCTTTTCGCTGGAAGCTGTGAGGCAAAGATCGATACTTTGAGAAAAATGCAACGCTCTCACGGTACCATCACGGCTGCCTCGGAACAATTATCATCACCATTATCATCATCATCAGCCTGACTACGTCCACTGCAGGACAAAGGCCTCTCCCATGTTCCGCCAGTTAACCCGGTACTGTGCTTGCTGCTGCCAATTTATACCCGCAAACTTCTTGTTCTCATCTGACCACCTAACCTTCTGTCTCCCCTAACCCGCTTCCCTTCTCTGGGAATCCAGTTAGTTAACCTTAACGACCAGCGGTTATCCTGTCTACGCGCTACATGCCCGGCCCATGTCCATTTCCTCTTCTTTGTTTCAACTATGATATCCTTAACCCCCGTTTGTCCCCTAATCCACTGTGCTCTCTTCTTGTCTCTTAAGGTTACACCTATCATTTTTCTCCCCATTGCTCGCTGCGTCGTCCTCAATTTAAGCTGAACCCTCTTTGTAAGTCTCCAGGTTTCTGCTGCGTAGCTAAGTACCGGTAAGATACAGCTGTTATATACCTTCCTCTTGAAGGACAGTGGCAATCTACCAGTCATAATTTGAGAGTACTTGCCGAATGTGCTCCAACCCATTCTTATTCTTCTAGTTACTTCAATCTCGTGGTTCGGCTCTACGGTTATTACCTGCCCTAAGTAGACATCGTCTTCTACAACTTGAACTGCACTATTACCTATCTCGAAGCGCTGATCTTTGCGAGGTTGTTGTACATTACTTTCGTTTTCTGCAGATTAATTTTAAGACCCACCTTTCTGCTCTCCTTGTCTAACTCCGTAATCATGAGTTGCAATTCGTCCCCTGAGTTACTCAGCAATGCAATGTCATCGGTGAAGCGCAGGTTACTAAGGTACTCTCCATTAACTCTTATCCCTAACTGTTCCCAATCTAAGCTTCTGAAAACCTCCTGTGAGCATGCGGTAAATAGCATTGGGGAGATTGTGTCCCTCTGCCTTGCACCCTTCTTGATTGCTATTCTATTGCTCTCTTTATGAAGCACTATAGTAGCAGTTGATCCCCTGTATATTTCTTCCAGGATGTTTATATATATTTCATCGACGCCCTTATTCCGCAGTATCTGCGTGACGGCTGATATTTCTACTGAATCAAACGCCTTCTCGAAATCTATGAAGGCTCTGTATAGTGGTTGGTTATATTGTGAGCATTTCTCAATTACCTCATTGATAGTATGACTGTGGTCAATTGTTGAGTAGCCTGTCCGAAATCCTGCTTGTTCCTTTGGTTGATTGAATTCTAATGTTTTCTTTACTCTGTTAGCAATTACCTTTGTAAATAGCTCGTATACTACACAGAGCAAGCTGATCAGCCTGTAATTCTTCAAGTCCTTGTCATCTCCTTTTTTATGTATTAAGATGATGTTAGCGTTCTTCCAAGACTCTGGTACTCTTCCCGTCAGGAGACACCTCGTAAACTGGGTGGCTAGTTTTTCTAACACAATGTGTCCTCCATCTTTCAGCAGATCTGATATTACCTGATTCTCACCAGAAGCTTTGCCTCTTTGCATGCTCTCCAAAGGTTTTCTGACTTCTTCTATATTTACTGGTGGGGTGTCATCTGGGTCACTGCTAGTTCTTATAGTATAAAGGTCGTGGTTGTCTCGGCTACTGTACAGATCTCTGTAAAAATATTCCGTTATTTTATCTATCCTATCCATATTGGTAGTTATTTGGCCTTCTTTGTCCCTTAGTGCATACATCCCATTTTTCCCTATCCCAAGTTTCCTCTTCACTGCTTTGACGCTTCCTCCATTTTTCAGAGCGTGTTCAATTCTCTCCATGTTATACCTTCTTACATCGCATACCTTACGCCTCTTAATCAACTTCGAAAGCTCTGCCAGTTCCATTTTGTCTGTTGTACTTGTGACTTTCATGATTTGGCGCTTTTAATTTGAGTCTTCGTTTCCTGGGAAAGCTTGCCAGTGTCCTGTCTAACTACCCTGCCTTCAACTTCCACTGCACACTCCGTAATGATACTCGTCAGATTATCATTCATTGTATCTGCGCTAAGGTTGGTTTTCTCACTAAGAGCCGAGTACCTGTTCTGAAGCGACACTCTGAATTCCCGTACTTTCCCTCTCAGTGCTAGCTCATTTATTTGCTTCTTGCGTATCAGTTTCTGTCGTTCCTTCTCCAAGTCTAGGCGAATTCGAGACCGCACCATTCTATGGTCACTGCATCGTACCATGCCAACCACTTCAACATCCTGCACAATTCCTCGGTGTGCGCTCATTATAAAGTCTATTTCGTTCTTATTTTCGCCATTAGGGCTTTTCCATGTCCACTTGTGGTTTTCTCGTTTTCGGTAGAAGGTATTCAAAATCAGTAAATTATGGCGTCCTGCGAATTCTACTAGTAGCTCTCTGGCCTTTCTAGTAGCGATTCCCTAATCTTCTACTGCCTCGTCTCCAGCCTGCTTCTTCCCTACTTCTGCATTAAAGTCGTCCATCACTATAGTATACTGTGTTTTTACCTTACTTATTGCCAATTCCACGTCTTCATAGAAGCTTTCAACTGAAGCGTCATCATGGCAGGATGTAGGTGCGTAAGCCGGTACCACCTTCATCTTGTATCTTTTATTCAGTTTAATTACGATACCTACCACCCTTTCATTATATCTATAGTATTCCTCTAGGTTGCCAGTTAGGTTTCAGTGAATTAGGAACCCCACTCCCAGTTCTATTCTGTCTGCCAAGCGCCGATAGCAAAGGACGTGCCCATTCTGTAGCACCGTATAGGCTCATCTTTCCTCATAACTTCACTGAGCCCTATTATATCCCATTTTACACCCTCTAGCTCCTCGAATAGTACAGCTAGACTTTCCTGGCTAGATAAGGTTGTAGCGTTAAACGTTGCCAAGTTCAGGCAACAATACACAGATTTAGTTGCGCGTCCACAGCAGCCGTATGGACGCAGACTTCCAATCATTCGCAATGGAAGCTGCATCCGTACGGCAGCCGTGGACGCGCAACTAAATCTGTCAAATGTGCAGTTTTCTTTCTCAAGAATCAAAACATGTTAATAACAAAACACAATAAAATAACAATACCTGCTCCCATGAACTCCTGTTTGATAGTTGAAACAAAGATTTATACTTGTTTATGGCCAAGTAAAATAAAGAAACTTGCAAATTGAGTCAGTGAAAGTGAATTTGAAAACCGTGTTTACAAAGTTTCATTTGTGAAGCTTTTCTTAGCGAACTTCATCGACTTTGAGCGTATCTATCTGTCTATCTATCAACGAGGCGTTCTATCTATCTATCTATCTATCTATCTATCTATCTATCTATCTATCTATCTATCTATCTATCTATCTATCTATCTATCTATCTATCTATCTATCTATCTATCTATCTATCTATCTATCTATCTATCTATCTATCTATCTATCTAGCAGCCTCGGACTTTTAGCTCTCCTTGGCCGTTTCGCTAATGGGATCTCTACCAAAATTTGTATGGCATAGCGAAACTGTATGACGAGCGTAAGTGACTAGTCATAACATAAAAATAATGACATGTATGTCATGAACATCATGATTTACATGTCATGGTCTCACTGCTCCTGCAGTGGTTTCGTTAACATGGCATATCGCATAACTGGTAAGGTATGACATGGCTGAATGGTGAACGTAAATGACAGACTCTAACAGGGAAACCATGACAATCGTGATATATAAGTCATTACTACACACCACGCTCATGGTGCGCTCACAGTAGTTTCACTAGCTTCACATATACCAAGTTTGGTATTACAAGACGTCAATGAATAACGAAAGTGTATGACTGGTGTAAACATGATAATCATGAGATGCATGTTATTCAAGAATATGACTACCTGCCACGCTCATGTTGCGCTCGCGGTCGTTTTTCTAGCTTCAAATATGTCAAATTTGGTATCACATGACGCGAACGGACGGCGAAGGTAAATCACAAGTCCGAACATGATAATAATGGCATGCGTGTCATGTGAAACATGACTACGTGCAGCACTCATAGCTCGCTCGCAGTCGTTTCCATAGCTTCACATGTACAACATTTGGTGTTACGTGACGTCAATGGATGACGATGGTATATGAACGGTGCAAACATCATAATCATGACATGCGTGTTACGTAAGAAAAAGAGAACATACCGGGCTCGTGATGCGCTCGAGGCCGATTGGCTAGCTTTACATATACCAAATTGGGTATTACGTGACATGAATGGACGATATCCGAACGTGATAATTATCACAGGCTTATCATGTAAAACATAGCTACATGCTACGATCATAGCGTGGTGCTGGCGGCCGTTTCGCCAGCCCCACAAATACCCAATTCGGTATCCTGTCACGTAAATAGACGAAGGTAAATGACACGTTTAAACATGATTATCGTATTATGAATGTCATGCACGGCTGAATTGTCGTCCGCCTCTTAAAGTGTAGCTGACCTTAAAGGGACATACCAACTGTCCTCATTCGTGCTTCGCATATCATCGATTTCAACTGTACGTAGGATCTGCCAAATTTTCGTGATTTAGCCATGTACACTTGCAGCTTTTCGTGGCACCGTTGCGACTTTTTTTAGATAGCAGTGTCAGGTACTTTCTCAAGTTAGCTGTCGCCACTCGTGCGTGTAAATTGGTGCACGTTGCGTGCGAGTTTACATCTGCCATATGCAGTTTACTTCAATTACTGACGCAGGTGTTCGACAGTGACGGGAATGGCTTCATCACTGCGGACAAGCTGCGCCACGTCATGACCACCTTGGGTGAAAAACTGACGGACGAAGAAGTCGATGCCATGATACGAGAAGCCGACATGGACGGAGACGGACAGGTTAACTATGAAGAGTTCGTAGCACTGATAACGTCGACCTGGAAGCCCGAATAAATGAGGTTTCCATGCGCTTTCGCAAAACCACTCACAGCTGTGGCATCGCCTGTCCGCAGCGCTTTTTTTTACAATGCTGTATTATATATCCCCTTGAAGTCCAGCGTACACATACATAACAACACTTATTTTTGGCACTTTCACTTAATAGTGGAAAAAAAGATAATATATATTGAACCTTCTGACAGTCGACGCGTCTTCGCTCAACGTGAATGGGGGTGTGTGTGACTCTAGCCGATCACTTAGATGAAGGTACTACGACGTTCAAGGTGCCGCTCGAAGTGCCGCGTTCGAGGAGGAACCATATGGATGATCTTCATAAATATTATTTTTATTTAGTAAAAGTGAACACACTCGAAAGGGAATTTCGTGCGCATTTTTAGACCAGAAGTTTTTGGTGTCTGGAAATTGAACATTGCTGACTGCAGAACAATATAATTTTAAATATACGCTAATTAAAAATAATATGCAAATTTTCCAAAAGTTGTATTTGGTAACTTTGTTTCTTGGAATGTAATAACGAGTGATTTAGAGTTACGTTGTAATAAATTCTGCCATTTACCAACAGAACACCGTAGTTAGTGCCCAAAGGCGATATTCTGTGGTTGTTTCACTTCATCAAAACCTAGCGCCTGCGAGCGAGCGTCCCGTGCCATGCCTGGCCATGGGTCATGTCGCACAGGGTGCTTGGCGTTAGAGCACTGCTTTTCTGGAAGCGCAGTATACTTTGGCGGAAAACATTCCTAGAGCATCAAAATGTTCACGCCTGCTTGACATAGGCTGGTGTCTGGTGTTCCCACGGAGAGAACTCGAGTAAATGCGTCACAGAGTGGCGGGGGAAAGATTGGAAACTTGGGCTAGTTGGTAAGGATGCATTTTTGGTGCATTTTGGTGCAGTGCTTCTTTGTGTGCCTTCTGTTTTCCGCCTTCGTTGTTTTCGCGCTGTAAATAAAAAATGCTGTTCAACAAATTCTTGCTTGTCTAGCTACACCTGTATCGCATATTCACAGAATGAAACTGCATTTACAAACGGGATGTTAAGCTTTGCGTTAAGCCGTGTGGAGTGAATAGCTGATTCGGCTACCTTGCTAGGTAAGACAAGTTAATCAATGTTCATTCTAAATAACCATAACTAAGACTATCAATAACATATGATACAAGTCAATCCTAATGAACACTCACTGATACCAATTCAGCCTCCGGATTAAACAGGGTATATGTACAAAAAGCGTGCTTAAGCCACTTTATCGCAGCCTAATTAAGTTGGACAAGCCAAGTTAACGTGAGCCGACACCGATCTATATTGATAGATACATGCCGAGTGGCATTAGACAAGATTTTTAGAGACTATTTTGATCACGCTAATCTGGTTTTATATCAGTGGCATAGCCGCGAGGTATATTACACCCGACTAGGCTATGTTCTCTCGGATTGAGCATGACGAAATGAAACCAAGGTTAAGCCCATTCTGAACAAGTCAATGTTGAGTGAACTGAGATTGTAGCAGTTTGGGTTGGTCATAATCAGCCAACCTGATTAACTTTGATTAAGCGAGATTAAGGCAATCCGAATTTTGAACCACCGAAATTTCAGTAAGTTGAGATTGATTAGCAGTTAGATGACAGACTGTAGCCACAATAAGGCACTGCGGTAAGCCAGAATAAGCTAATCCACATTCAGCTAATACCAAGCAAGTGAATTGGCAGTGAGTTTATATTGTCTACCCTGTTCGATATCAGAGCATGGTCCCGTTAAAGGCCAACTCCGCCGATTTTTCGAGGTCAGTGGATCTCAATGGAATTCGCTAGGTACCTTCATTTGCACATTTGCGTCATTTATTCCAAGTTGCAGACTTGAGAGATTCGCAGATTCTTTTCAAATGAATTTTATAGCTTGCCTCGAAACGCTCACCTCGCTTGCCAGAATTAATGGCAACATTGTGTGTGCGTGTGCAGCGTTGAGTTTTCCCTCACGGAAGTACAGTGGCTAGAGTAGAGAAGTGTGATGAACGCGCCAGCTAGCACGTAACGTCTTGGGGGAAACCGCAAGGTGGCGCTGGCACACGCTTGCACGAGTTCAGTTCGGGCTGTCACGGTGGATGGACGTGTTTTTTGAGCGCTCCGGATCAACTGCGCAGATAAGTGTTTTTGCATGTTTTGAGCTTGTCTCTATAATTATAAGGCAGCGGTTGAAGTCTTCGTAGCACTTATTTTATGGTACGGCTTTTTCGGGGGCCAGTCACCAGGTACGTATTTATTAGTTAGTGCGGGTGTGTGTGTTTGAATTTTTTGTAGTTTTTTTCTTTTGTCACCCCGTGGGGAAGGTGCGCGTACATTGAACACGCAAAGTTTTGTAGTAGAGCTTAGACTTTCTTTTTTTTCGTAGTTCAGGGCTCGAGTTTAGTAATTATCGAGTATAGGCAATATGGGTGTCAGAAATGCATGGTTAAAAAGACTGTAAAGTGTTCAGGATGTGGAGTGGGTTTGAAAGTGGACCCAAGCGTAGAAGCGGATAGAGAAGAGGCTGACGCGAAGTGTAGGCAATGTGATGTCGAGGAAAAAATGGAGAAAATGATGGTTGCCTAAAGTAAACTGCTGGTGAGAATCGATGAGCTCGAGATTGCGTTGGCAGCAGAGCAAGAGAAAACGAGGGCAATGGGAGAAAGACTGAAGTCCACCGAGGAAGCACTAGCGAAGCTGAACAAAGAAGCGGCCTACGGAGAGAACAGTAGAGAACCGGCATTCAGAACGGTGGAGAAGGAAGAGCAAGCAAGTTTGGAAAAAACAGGTTTAGCCAGTTCAACTGTCGCAAGGCCAAGCTTCAGCGAGGTAGTGGTGGGGCTAACAGGGGACAAAGCAGCCGGCGTCACAGGTGCAAGTAGCCCCCAGGTGCAGGACGCTCCAGCTGAAAAGTCACAGCATGTGATAATCGCCGGGGACTCGAATTTAAATCGATGCACAGAAGCCATCAAAGAGAGGGTAAGAGGTGACAAGAGGGTTGCAGTAGGAGCGTTCCCAGGACGCAAGCTGGAAGCAGTCATGAGGCAAGCGAGCGCAAAACTCAAAACTACAGCTGACAGACGAAACTTCGTGATAATTTCAGGTGGTTTAAATGATGTCTTAAATGAAGATACAGCAGGACTAGCAGCCACACTGGCGAAAGGCGTCGATGACATGCGCGCCACTTCTCCTAAGGTACAAGTAGTGATATGCACAATACCGGAGGTACCGGTGCGTGATAGCAACCTGCAAAGAGCGGTTGTCAACGCAAACCAACAAACCAAGAGATATGGCGGATGAGTCGAGAGAAAGGCTTTGAGGTAGTGGAAATAAACAGAGAGGTGCACAGGTGGGGTGGTTTTGAACGAGACAGAATTCACTTCGATGGGCGGCCAGGTCATGAGGTGGGTTGGCGACTTGCAGGACTCACAGTAGCTTTTTTGGGAGGCAAGCGAGCCCTTCGGGGTGCAGGATAACTAGTAACGAGGAAAACAACCAGGGAGACTCTTCGACAGGTGTTATGGACAGATACAATTCCAAAGTGGCACCAATGTCCAAGATAGGTAGAGTCCGGGGCATAAATAGACGTAGCCACGAGCGCCGAGCCCATTCAGACATAGGGTATATTAACATGCAGGGTGGTAGGAACAGGCTGAAGTGGGAAGAGATAGAAGAACAGCTAAGGGAAGAGAGGCCGATGGTATACGGTTTTGTAGAAACACATCTCAGGGACATGGAACAACCTCCGAACAATCCGGACTACGCGTCGGAATATTGTAATAGAACAGAAGGCAGCAGAAAGGGGGGTGGTATTGGGGCATTCATTCATAAAAGTACAAACTGGCAAAGGGTCAAGCAGGAGTGCAAGGAACATTTATGGCTAAATGGGAAAGTGCAAGGTCAAATGACACTCCTTGGTTTCGTGTACTTGTGGACGGAAGCAAAGGCCAGAGAGGAAAACCAGGCAATGGTAGAGTGTATATCAAAGGACTTTCAGGAGTTAGGAAGAGAGTGCGAGATAATTATACTAGGAGACATGAATGCGCACATAGAAGATACAGAATGGTATACCGACCCGACAGGCAAAATGATCATGAATATGTGTGAAAGGCTTGATTTGATCATTTGCAACAGTACCGAGAAGTGTGAAGGGCAAATAACATGGGAGCTAGGAAGGCTGCAGTCAACGATAGATTATGCACTGATGTCACATAGGATGTATGATAAGCTCAGGGGAATGCAGATAGATGAAGGTGGCTCCAGAAGTCTGGGTAGTGATCACAAACGTATCAAGCTAAGTTTTGGAAGAGCAGTGAAAGTGGGAAAGATACAAGATGAGCACCTACAGGAAAATTTTTATTCAGAAAGGCAAATTGAAATAGCCACTAAAAAAATTGAGAAAGTAATCACGGAGGATAATAAGACAGTGTGGACATACACGAATCTAATTAGACTCTTGAGCTAGAGCTTGCTAAGACGCGTAACAAGTCACCCTGGAAAAGAAGACACGAACCCAAAAGTTGGTGGGATGAGGAAGTTAAGAGAGCCATAGCCAAACGGCAGGAAGCCTCTAGGGAACACAGACATGTTAAGCAGCGGGGTGAATCGACAGATGATGTTGAAAGAAAATGGAAAACCTTGCTAAGCTGTAGAAGGGCTGCATCCCTTCTGATCAATGAAAAGATTAGAAGAAAGGGAGCTCAGTGGCTGGCAGAAGTACATAAAAAAGATAGAAAGGCAGCTGCGAAATTTTGAAACCATCTAAACTCTTTAAGAAATGAGACGAGCCTAGAGCAGAGTTTTATAACTACAGCCCAAGGTGCAAGGCTAGAAAGGGACGAAGCTATTGAATATATAAGAACAAGGGTGACAGAAAAAATTTCAACAAAGAAGTACTTTATGCACCACAATAGACAAGGACGAATCAAGTGGTGCAATGGCTCCATTTTCACAACGAGAGTGGGAAAGGGCTGAGAAAAGGGTTCCTAGTAGTACATCAACAGGCCCAGAAGGCATTCCAATTAGGCTGATAAAGACATTAGGTCCGAAGTCTAAGCAGGCTTTGAGAGAGGCAGTGAGCAAAATAATAATCGATGGTGAAGTTCCCGATGGATGGAAACTTAGCAGGATGAGCATGATCTATAAAGGAAAGGGGGACAAGCTGACATAAACAACTACCGTCCTATAACAGTGACATCAGTGGTCTACAGGCTGGCGATGCAGATTATAAAGGAAAGACTGCAGGCATGGATACAAGATGAGTGGGTGCTGGGGGAACTGCAGAATGGGTTTCGGAAACACAGGAGGTTGGAAGACAATCTGTTCTCACTGACGCAGTGCATCGAAATAGCAGAAAAGGAACACAGGCCCCTGTGGCTAGCATTCTTGGATATCAAGGGAGCGTACGATATCGTGGTTCAAGAGGAATTGTGGGGAATACTGGACACACTAGGCGTGGAACATGTAGTAACTAATCTTTTAAAGGGTATCTATAAAGGTAACAAGGTAGTATAAAGTGGGAAAAACAGGTATCCAAGCCTGCAGAGGTAGAACGGGGGCATAGGCAGGGGTGCCCCCTTTCACCCTTATTATTCATGATGTACCTACAAGGATTAGAGGCAAAATTAGAAGGAAGTGGGCTGGGCTTCAACCTCTCTTTAGTCAAACAAGGAAAACTTATTGATCAGGCACTACCAGCATTAATGTACGCAGATGAGATAGTGCTAATGGCCAACAACAAGGAAGATTTGCAGAGATTGATGGACATCTGCGGTAATGAGGGAGATAGGTTAGATTTTAGATTCAGTAAGGAAAAATCAGCAGTCATGATTTTCAATGACAACGAAGGTAGTCAGCTTAGGATACAGGAGGTCACGCTAGAGATAACAGATAAATACAAATATCTGGGCGTATGGATAATCAATGGTACCGAGTACCTGAGGGAACACGAAATATACGTGACGACTAAAGGTAACAGGAATGCAGCAGTGATGAAAAATAGGGCACTGTGGATTTACAATAGGTATGATATTGTGAGAGGAATATGGAAAGGGGTCATGGTTCCTGGGCTGACGTTCGGCAATGTGGTCTTGTGCATGAGATCAGAAGTTCAAGCAAGATTAGAAATTAAGCAACGTGGAATAGGTAGGCTTGCTTTAGGAGCTCACGGGAATACACCAAATCAGGAAGTACAAGGTGATATGGGATGGACATCAATTGAGGGCAGGGAAGCTAGCAGCAAGATAAAATTTGAGAAGCGGTTGAGAGAAATGAAGGAGGAGCGTTGGGCTAGGAAGGTTTTCAGCTACTTGTACATGAAGAATGTCGATACAAAATGGAGCAAGCGAACCAGGAAGTTGACTGGTAAATACTTAGAAAACAGCAGGTGGCCTAACCAAAAAGAACTATCGGTTAGGAAGAAAGTGAAGGAAACGGAGACTGACATGTGGAAAATGGGCATGATTAAGAAGTCCACACTAGAGATCTATCGAACATTTAAGCAGGATATTTGCCAAGGAAAGGATCTATGATAATACTCGGAGTAGTTCTCTACTGTTTGAGGCAAGGACGGGAGTACTGCGAACCAAGACATATCGGGCGAAATACGAAGGGGTAGACACAGTATGCAGTGCGTGTGGAGAGGAAGAAGAAACTGCCGAACACTTCATAATGTTCTGTAAAGGGCTTCACCCTGTAGTTCAGGATGATGGCGCAGAGTTTTTCAAAGCACTGGGGTTTAGGGACCGGGAGGGCAAAATAGACTTTAACCAAGTAGACTTAACTAGAAGGAGGTTATTCGATTGGTGGCTGAAGTCAAGGCACGAGTGAAAATTAAACTTTTCACTTCAAAGTACGAATCCTCAAACTCCCTTTTTAAGGAAAAAAATAAATATAGTTTTGGGCTCATTAAGTATTACGGCTTGGTGGTGCTAGGCACCGCCCGATCTAAAGGGTACAGCCATATCCATCCATCCATCCATCCATGTCACCCAAAGCAGCGATGTGCTGCGCGCAGACGGGAATCCACCACGCGCGCGGGTAGGGTGAAACATTTAAAATACATGTTGTTGCTCGTGCACAGCCTCTTATGGTGACTGAGCAAATATGGTAATTAGCTTCTGGAATTACAGAATGCCTACGCGGGTGGGCGACTGAACTGAAATATCAACTGGGTGCCGATAGTGAGCGTGTGACGGCACTGAAGAATTTTGTCGATGTGAAGTGGCAGAAGATTGATACGATGAACTTCCTTGTGAGCCATTGCTTGCGACACCTTCCAAGGCGAACCATCATTCCCTGAAGAACTAATCAGTAAGTAAAGCCCCATCATTCGTAACATGCATGGCTTGCTATAGCTACTTCTGCTAACGCATTATCTAACTAAGAGACCACAATCACGAGGGGTATCAGAATAAAAACATTTTATTTTCTGCACACTGGTCATATAACAAATTTCCGAGTAGTGACTCACTATCTGTTTACAACACTGCATTCTTAATAGTTGATCGCACATCTTTTTTATCCCCAAGAAAAAAAGTTATATGGTTTACAAGCGCACCACAGAGCATTGTTTCCCTTGAGGGTCAAGCCTGGGTGACGCACCGGGGCTTCAAGTGCAATTTCTCTTTTCACGGGAAAAGGCTCGCTCCTTGTGGAGTGCGTTTGTGTAAAACCGCAGATGGGTTGGATGGACGGATGAACTTTACTTGGTCCTTCGGAACGCGCTTTAGCGCGTTGCGGGCCGCTCCCACGTCGGGTCAGAAAGACCTAGT